AAATTGTAAAACTTTGCCTCCAAGTACCCCAAATCAGTTAATCAATAGTTCTATTCTCTCTCTTGCGAACTTTGATACGCGATATTTATGTTGGTGTTGGATCCCATCAGAAAATAATTACAGAAATCAGCGCTATTGGTTAGCCACTCGTCGGTGGTGGTTATCGACGGAGACAACCAACGCCGAAATTTCGTCGGCGATTTGAGAAGGTAACAAAAGGCGTGGGACATGATTGTGTGAGCGCTGCCTAGGAGGAATCCTCCCATGCGCTGTGATAGTAAACGACGAGGGGCAGTTTGGATGCCGGAGCGGGGAAAATTTTCGTCGAGGGGAGATACAAGGATGAATACTCCCCTATGATAGTAAATGACGAGGGGCAGTTTGGATGCCGGAGCAGGGAAAAATTCCAGCGAGGGGAGATACGAGGATAAATCTTCGTTGGTGGGAATGTGTTTGCTGGGTGATGCGATCTCTTGTGTATCATAAGATTTCTTTACTGAACGTAAGAAAACTCTTGTTTATTATTTCTCTTCATTATAAAAACCCTAGCACAAGACGACTATTTAAAGATAAAACCCTAGAGTCCTAATCTAATTAAGAAATGTAATTACCTATACTAATTAAATACCTAATAATCTCCTAACCACTACTAACTCACGGCCATCTATAACCCTAAACAACTATTCTATTTAATTAATAATTAAATACTGACTAACTAATAATTAAACGATATATTTAATAATATATCGTATCAAACCACCCCTCTTGAAATGAACCTTGTCCTCAAGGTTCGAGTCAATTTGGTCCCTCTTCTTTGCGTTTCCACCTATGTTTGACTTCATCGACTTGCTTATCAACTTGCTTCCCGATTGACTCCGAAAAACACGATGAACGACCAAGCTTTTTAACACATTGTTCATGCTGATCCAATGAAATTCCACAGGCCATTTTAGCGAAAATATTCAATATTTTTCCCGACAAATAAAAATTTTCAATCGTCTTTTTAGATTTTATCTCATCCAAACTGACCATCGGTTCTTCGTCTTCTTTCTTTTGAACACCATGAAAATTTCCTAATATCCATTGTGTCTCTTCGTTCTCCTCCCTGGTTAATTTCTCGTCTTCATCCCACTTTACCTCAGTTGACTCCGATTCTTCTTCTTTCGACTCTTCGTCCCACTTTATCTCAGTTGAATCCGATTCTTCTTCTTCCGGCGAACTCACAAAAATTTGGGGTTCTTCGAAAAAGTCATCGTCGTCCTCTTCCTCTTCCTCCGGGAATAGGCTCGGCAGCGGCATCGGCAGTGGCGGTGACGGGCGGCGGTCCCTTCGGCTTTTGTGATGGCGTTGACGTCGTCCTTGACTTTGTTCGAGCAATTTCTGAAAATCAATCCGTAATTTCTCCACGGATTTCTCCAATCGCTCCAACCGTCTTGTTTCTGACATCATAATTTTCACAAAGTTTTGATGTGATCTCAACTTTGCTCCAGCTTAGCTTTGATATAATCGCTACCTTGCTAACGAAGCGTTGGTGTTAATCGCAACTTCGCTCTGATACCAATTGATGCGATCTCTTGTGTATCATAAGATTTCTTTACTGAACGTAAGAAAACTCTTGTTTATTATTTCTCTTCATTATAAAAACCCTAGCACAAGACGACTATTTAAAGATAAAACCCTAGAGTCCTAATCTAATTAAGAAATGTAATTACCTATACTAATTAAATACCTAATAATCTCCTAACCACTACTAACTCACGGCCATCTATAACCCTAAACAACTATTCTATTTAATTAATAATTAAATACTGACTAACTAATAATTAAACGATATATTAACGATATATTTAATAATATATCGTATCACTGGGGACCGAAGATTTGGGATCGGAAGAGGCGGCGATTGGGGGAAGAATCCCGGCCGACGTGTGATGGAACCATTGAAGTTTTGGGTTTATTCCAGGTGGGAAGAAGCGTGCCCATTAACGTTAACTCAGTGATACCATTGACATGTTGAAGAAGAGAAGAAGAAAGAATTGATTAGTCTAACTTTTTAAATTAAATACATTTAAGGGTAATTAAGTAATTTCCCAGAAAAACTAACGGTGTTAATTTTCTAATGTTTGACCAAAAATCGGAGGGGCCATTTTGTTACGTTTTGTAGTTCAGGGGGTGTTTGTGACAGACCCCATAGTTCAGGGGTGTAAACTGTAGTTTCCCCTAAAAAAAAATACAAAAGTAACTAATGCTACCGCAACCTAAGAAACACTTTTTTATTCTCTAATTTTCACTTTTAAAATACTATCCCGTGCTTAACGAACACCAGCCCCTGCCCCAAAAGGTGGCATTCTCACTGCAATTCGATCACTACGCATAAATTCTTGGATCATACTCCGCGTTTCTTCTTTCCCGATTTCTATGAAAGGTATGGCTCTTCCGTTTTGCCTTTTCTGCGTTTATAAGTTTTGTGTGGCGTATAGGCATTCGTGGTGGTGATTCCTCTATTTTTTGTTTGTGGGTTTTGGTAACATGATCATGCTCTGGTTTTTGAATTTCAACGTGCTGACGTGTTGTTGAATATTCTTATGATAAATTTTGATTTCGGTTTCTTGTCGGAGTTTGTTTCTACGATTCTTGATTACCTTCGAGTTTTTTTTTTTTTAAATGTTTTGGTGTAACCGTTACTTGGTGAAATTAACTGTGTAGAAAAATTGTGATGAATTATAGAGGATATTTAGTCGTTCAATGTTAAGTATGCGGTGCAAATGTTCGTGGAAGGTTGTTACTTGGTTGGGTGGGTAATTTCATGGAAGTCGCGGTTGATGGTGGAATCTGAGTTAGGTTGTGGGTTCTCCAAGTAGGTGATACATTTCTTAATTTCTTACCAATTCTTGTTTTCCATTTTCTTTTGGCAGAACTTGTTGGGAAGTGCTTCAAGTGATGAACCAAGTTGATAGTTTAAGATGTGAAAACGAAGAATTTAACCCGGTACAGCAGCAAAAACAAACGAAATGGCAAATGGAGGGACCATTTTGTTACGTTTCGTAGTATAGGGGGTGTTTGTGACATGTCTCATAGTTCATGAGTGCAAACTGTACTTTCCCCTAAATTATATTTACTGAAAACAAAATGCTTTTTTTTCCGAATTTAATATATTAATGGGGTGAAGATTGATACTTTCATAAATTGTTTCTTTAAAATATTCTATTACAATTAATATTATTTAAAATATATTCAAATATAATATAAAGGTCAAAACAAAATTTATTTAATAAATAGTTTTATATTAATTTTTATTTCAGAGTGAAGTATTTTTTTTTTGAGTAATCAGAGTGAAGTATTTTAAACGTTATAGTAATTTTTCCGCCGGATTTTGGCGTTGACTTTTCAAAATATTTTTTTTTTTTCTCTTCCGGATTTTTTCGCCGGTTTCCGGCGTTGACTTTTTCGATTTTTTTTCTTTTCTTTCTTTCAGTAACTTTTTTTTTTCGTTTAAACAACAATATTGCTGTGATTGACAGTAATATAAACTATATTACTGTTAAACACAGTAAAATTAACTAAACTACAGTTTAACACAGTAATATTGCTATATTAATCTCTAGCACAGAATTATGAACACAACAAAACTCATTATTATTGTGTAATAGAGTAATATTACTATGTTAACCGTTCAACAAATGTAAACATAATAAAAAACCAAAAGAATTAATATTATTGTGAGTGACAGTAATATTACTATAACAACAGTAATATTACCGTCAACCACAGTAATATCACAATAATAGACAGTAATATTATAACGTTACTCCGTGAATAACTCAAACAAACAAAAAAATCCAAACAAGATAATAATATTGATGTGGTCGGCAGCAATATTACTATAACAACAGTAATATTACCGTCAACCACAGTAATATTATTGTGTTTACAGTAATATTACAATAATAGACAGTAATATTATTACGTTACTCCGTGAATAACTCAAACAAAACAAAAAACCTAAAAAAAATAATATTAATGTTGTTGACAGTAATATTATTGTGTTTACAGTTATTTTACTGTCAACGACAGTAATATAATTACGTTGACTTGTCAACAAATCAAACAAAATAAAAAAAATAACAAAAAAAAAATAATAATAATATTACGTTAATTTACTGTCAACGGCAGAACAATTACATTAATGTATTGTCAACGGCAGTACAATTACGTTAATTAACTGTCATTCACAGTATAATTACGTTAATTTACTGTCCGTGACAGCACAATTACGGTCAACGTTTAGCGGCGGACGTGTAAAAAAACAAACAAAAAAAAAACCTAAAAGAACACTAAAAAAAAAGTCAACGCCGTAAACCGGCGAAAAAATCCGGAAGAAAAGAAAAGAAAAAAGAAAAAAAATATTAAAAGTCAACGCCGGAATCCGGTGGCAAAATTACTTTTTTTTGGAAATTTGTTTTTTGAAAAAAAAAGTTTTGTGTCAAAATTGAATAATTTGTGAAATTTGGGGTCAAGTTGAGATTAAATTAAGTTAAAGATGAAATTGGAACATATTAAAGTATGCTCCAAAAAAGTCAAAATTGAATTTTTGTGGTCAAAATTGGATTTTTGTTGACAAAATTGATTTAATTGTGGTTACAATTAAGAATTGGGTACAAATGGTGTGTAAAGACAAAAATACCCTCTCACGTTTTAAAATCCTTCAATTTCATTCATTTAACTCAATTTAACCTCAAATTGACCATTAATTTCACCAATTATTTAATTTTGACCATCGCTGGTCTGCCGTTGACTTTTTTTTTCTAATGTTATGTAGCCGCTGGTGACCGGCGGTCAACGCCGGTCTCCGGCGGCGTTGACAATTTCATTTTTTATTTTTTTTTCCTAATAAGAAACAGTAACATTACTGTGATTGACATTATATTAACTATATTACTGTTTAACACAGTCATATTGTAATATTACTATCTAGCACAGTAATATTAAAACAATAAAATCACAGTAATATTGCTGTGGTAGACAGGAATATTAATGTAACGAGAGTAATATTATTAGGGACAAGTACAGATAAATCCCCAACTCAAAAACAAACATACGGGTCAGTCCCCACTAACGTTTTACTAGCGGGTCAGTCCCTAAAGCAAACATAAACATGCAGTTCAATCCCTGACCCCACTTTTTTTCACTTTATACACTCTCTCTCCTCTCTCATCTTTCTTCTATTTCTTCTACACTCTCTCTCCTCTCTCCTCTTTCTTCTGTTTCTTCTACACTCTCTCTCCTCTCTCCTTTTCTTCCATTTTTTCTCTTTTGTTTCTCTCTCCTCTTCCTTTCCTCATATTCTCTGTTACTACTTTTAGTTTTCCGACCGCGAAAAAAAACTGTAATTTCCCACAATGGCAAAAAATGGTGAATCCAACCCCATCGCCGCTGGTATTATTGGAAGTTGTCGGTACAGTGATTATCTGCACATCATTTCCATTAAGAATGATTCGACTTAAAAGGAGATCTATGAATCTATCTTAATGAAGTGGAACGATATACATCCCGACAAATTGGTGCTCCAATACTTGGCTCCCCGTGAAAGAATGTTTGTCACACTGACTTCTGACGAAGACGTGGTGAATATGGTTACATTGCATTTGGTAATGCACATGAGTGTGGTCGACATTATGGTGAGCCGCACTGATGAACTTGATGGGCGTAGAAGGAGGACCCCCAGCAACGGGTATGCAGCCATTCTGTTTTGTATGCATTTTCAATTTGTTTATGTGATCATAGCATAGAATATAATACTACATAGTATCGTGTTACTATAGTGATAGTGTAGAATAACTAAGCTCGTAGTATCATATAAGGCTACTAATAGTATGGAATGATTGTATATCAAGTATCTTATAAATTGAGTTCTCGTATGCAAGCATTCCAATCAAAGTACTTATTTCAATTGTTACAATTTATTTGTAGTCCACTGTAATAATCCAATTTGTTTCATTGTTTTTGCATTTTCCAGTGAGTCTGTTAGTTCCAACAGTCCGTTGCTGCAAATTGAGTACAATCCGGTTGGAGATTCAATTGATGCATGGAGACATTGCATACGCGGGGAGAATCAAATTTTCAAAGATGCTAATGATTTTAGGTTTATGCTAAAAAATTACTGCATTGCTAACAATCGAACCTTTAAGTACAAGAAAAATGATCAACAAAAGATCATAGCCGTATGCATTGTTGAAAATTGCAAATGGAGGGTTTATGCATCAGTTCATAAATCAGACAAGTTATTCGGCATTCGCAAATGTATTCTTGAGCACAGTTGTGGTGATGCTACTCTTCGTACAAGGGGTCATCCCAAAGCCGATGCTACGTGGATTTCGCAACTTATGAAACAAAAATTGAGAGATGAGCCAGGTTACAAACCAATTGCTATTTTGAATGAGGTCCAAAGAAAGTATGGTGTGGAGCTTAAGTACTATACGGCGTGGAGAGGTAAGGAAAAAGCA